TAAGTTTTGTTCTCCTTTAATTCTTAAGTGGTCCATCCAACATCTAACTTCATCTGCTTTCTTGACCTCAAGCAGAGTACTTATTTTTTGTATAAGTTGAGCCACTTTAAATTTGTTTATTCATATTAATGCAAAACCATGTAAAGAAATCCAATTCTTTAATTGTGATGTCTAGAGTATAAAGTTTGAAGACTAGTGAGACACCTTTTATGTTACAAACACCTTTTATTAGGGTAACATCCTTTTAACCTACAATAGGGAATGCAAAGAGGATTATGTTCTTATAAAGTATTGATTTTTAACACCAACGACTAATTTCCAGATGGTATTAATGTGTTTTAAGACCAGTAGAAATAGGCTTAATGGTGAAGATCTTACAAACTAGGCATTTATCCCATTTATTTTCCCAAAGTTCACCATTAGTGAGAGGGAGCATATCTTCACATGACAACTTAGTAGCCTTGTTTATGAGTAACTGATGTAGAACCTGGGATCAATAATGCAATCTAAAATCTCACATATACATCAGCAACCAGAAACTTAAAATCGTAAGTAAACCCTCCCAACTTGACCTGCACATAATAAGCGAGTAAAAACCAAGGTTATAGGGAATCGTAAATAAAAAACTAGAATTAAAAAGACGTTATGAGACTTACTTCGATAAGTTCCAATTCCTAGCACAACAAGCCAATTGAAGAAAGCAAGAAGAACACTAACCATATTTGATTCTGCTATGGGAAGAGCATGGTTGAGAGCATGGAGGTGAAAACCCACTCACCGATGCAGGAACTACACCCAAATAAGAAAGCTCGAGCTATGTTTCTCTTTAGGGAGGTTTAAAAACTTCCAGTTGGATTCCAACGACCTACAAAAACAAAGGCAAAATAAATGAATAAATCGATCATAACAACCAACAAGAAACCAAAATGAAGAAAAAAAAGGAAAAAAAATTCCTATTGCAGGAACACACTAAACTAGAGAGGGATTCTTCTTGGTGCATGGCATCTTCAAGTCTTTTGGTTCTATTCTAGGTCTACATTAAATAAAGAAAAGTTCTAAGTAATAAAGGAATGAAGAGAAGAATGAAGAAAGTGATTGGCTATGAAGAAATAAAGTCCTACCTAATCTCCAATATCTACTTCAATCATAATTCTGAAAAAATAATATGTCCAAGCTGCAATATGCAAATTAAAAAAGAGACAAAGTTAAATATAAATTCAAGACCGAAAAGTAATCAAAATGAGGAAACCGATTGAGAGACTTAACTACCCAAGGAGAAAACAATTATTTAATTAAGAGTTTATATTTTGTTTTTAATTAAATTATATTTTTTAATTCAAATTAGATTAAGAGTTTATTAGATTCTGGTTTCCT